TGGCATCGAAGAAAAACCTATTTCTACGTACACAAAAAGAAAACGAACACAAATACAAAGAATTTGTTCATCTACACAGCCAATTAGGAAACAGTTTGATTTAAAAAGTACGGACGATTTTATAAACTGTCCCAGCTTAATTTATCGAATAAAGGACTGTGCCTGATCGAATTTCTCTTTAATGGGCTGTTTTCAAAAATTTCCCGAATAACGGTTCTCCGATGACATTATTCAATAGTTTCTCACGATAAGAAACAATTTACCTATAGAATATCTCAACTTAAGCTATCATTCACAACATCAATAAATATTTCAACGGGATATTCAAATTCAATTCAAAATAATTTCCAAAGATGCGATCTCAAAATGTTATTTGAGATGCTGATCCTTCAGAAATTGCAAGAAGCCGCGGACGTTATTGCGTAAATTAGCCACGACGATGAAAATCATATCCCCCTCAATTTATAATCATTATTATTCATTATTATATTTATGCACGCGCTATATAATCGAAATTATCAGAGCTTGAAAGAACCGAAACGCTTTATTGCACGGTGAAATATTACATTTCTTCACGTTTCGTGATGGTTATTCTGGTTACGTACCAATGATTATCTATAGTTCCGTATTCTTAACGTACGCATTCTCCCAACTTCCTGCACTATATTAAATAATCTTTCTGGGGGTTTTTCTTTTCTACTTTTGAAAGATAAAGTTAATTGAACAACTGCGAGTCAAGAGCACCGGTAGATGGCCTTCAGTGAACCTTAGCAGGAGACGAGGGATCATCATCTTCCTACTGAGGATTGGCCATACGCGGTTGACATTTGGTTCCCGCATACTCAGTCATCCTAAAAAGAACTCTGAGGATCTGATATGACAGGATTGTGTTACTGCCGCAGCATTGGTGTAGAGGCAGCTCAGCCCCGAAGGGCCAAGACAACCTCGCAGCGTGTAGGCATGCCCCAGATTTAAGAATGGTTCTCGGAAAGGAGAGCAAGTTTCAGGGTCCCCTGTTCCGCTTTTTAGAGGAATTGGGATTTTTTATTGTATATAGCCTTCAAAATAGGTGTTTTATATGAGTGAGTGTATTTATTAGGGTGAATGGGGAGGGCTGATGGTGGAATAGCATCCCCATCGCCCCCCGAGCTGTCTACGTGACTTGGGTCGATGGCGGGATATTAGTAAAAGTACCCCATCGACCCCAATTAGATTGTTATCATATGCAGATCGATGAAGGAATAATAATTACTCCATCTACAAAATAGAATGAATGCAATTTATGTAGGTGTGAATGTATTTATTTGTGTGAATGCGTATTGAATGTGTGTAATAATGCGTATGCGCTCGGTGCTGAAATGACCAAGCTGTCGGATGCCCCTAGGGAAAAAAGTTCAATTCATAGCCTAAAATCAATTTACGAGCGTAGTTTTTGAGTGGTTTTTTACTACCTTCATATACCGGTCGATGCTAAAGAGGCTTTCACTACCTCAGAAGGCCGAGCGTGATAGATTTTGCCGTTGGTCACACTTTTATCGTCTCTCACAGTGCATTACTTCATCTTGAGATTTTTTTTCGTGAACCCTTCTTGAGGGCAGCAGGGCCATGAATCTGTAGTTTGATCCGAGGTATGTGTCTGCAATTTGTCTACATCTCTGACTATCCAAAGCTTTCGCAATGCCAGGCACTAACTTGATAGAAATTACATTTACGTAGAGTACAATGTAACATAAAAAGTCGTTTCCAGACCATCTTGCTTTTTAGGTAGGACGTCCCGATATTTTTACATCTTCCGTTTGTGGCTTTGCCTCACCCTGCTTATATCCTTTACTAACAGACAGACCCAACTATTCCATTAGGATGATCTTGGGCAAACTCTCCTCGCCTGTCGCGTTCCGGCATATCGGCATATTCAATAGTATATTTGTAGTCTTCTCTCACCGTTCCTATATACCATATCAACTAATGACTTTTCTGATCATTCTTTTTTCCTGATCCTGGTTTTTGCGTTTCGGCTTCTTGCGCTCTTTACTTTTCTGGTTGTCCACGACGTGTTTATATTCCTGATCAGCTGAAGGTTTTCCAATGCCGGGCATTAACTTCTAACATATTACATTTGAATGTAATAGTGTAAGTTGTAATATATATATTTACTCGTTTTCAGTCATCTTTGGTATGACAGGCACGTTCCGGCATTTCTACATCTTCAACTGTGAGTTTGCTGTTTTGACTCATCCTGCTTATGACCCACTATATAACCCACTAAGACTGAAACCAAAATGCGTCTTACAGACCAAAATAATCGGATACAAACGATACATCAAAATAATCGTTGAAAAATACGTCAAAATAAAAGGTTTACTTACTTCTAATATATAACGTATAAAGAAATAAATATTTTAAGCAAGTCTTGCAACTAGTAAATAGTATTCATCGGACGTAAACAGCCAACGGGTATATTGTACGGTATGCAGGAATTTCCTTTTGGGTATATACTTGTTTTAAATTTAACATTTCATTGGCACAACAACTAAAAATATATTACAAAGGAACTTTCGCCAAGAACTAGTTCAATACGGTATTAACATTAATGAATAATCGCTATTAACTCTAGTGTAAAAATAATTGGGAAAAATGTTAATGACAGACAACTTAGTGTTTATAAGGTCTACTAAGTTTATAGAGCATCTACTTCCGCTAGTGGGGGGTTTGTTCCTATTAAATTATTTTATATTACTAAGTAACTTATTTAATCGTTTAATTAATTTTATATAATGCATTACGTATTCTTCATAACAGATAAAACATTACTAAAGCCACTTGACCAGTTTCCTGGTAGCTTCTGAGTATGGCAATATTACAATTTAAAAAACGTATATAACGCGCAAAATCATTTCTTATTTTTTCAATATCTTCAATATCTTTATTTTTGTTGATTAACAATTTTTCGTTTCTTACTAGAACCCGACAGAGTAGTAACTTAAAATTTCAAGTTATGATGATCATAAGAATGACATCACTTAAAGTTAATATATATTATGTTATATTTATGGTGCGTATGAGTGTCTGATAAATATACGTTAGGCTGAGGTTGTACTCAGCAAAAGAAAAAATTCAAAATTTAACAGATGCATTTCTGTCATAATATAGCTTTTACATACGGTATAATTTCTGTTCAAAAAAATTGGATCAAAAACATGATTGAATATAACTAATTTCTTCATACTTTAATAATAATCTTGGACCACCAATATGCTATAAAATTTGTATATTATATAAAATAATTTAGGCAACAATTGACAAATTTACACACGTCGAGCGTTTCTATTTCATTACAAAATTATGATTTTAAAACAAAACAGTGTTTACAAATGAAAGTTTATCATAGATCTTAAGAATGTATCGTAAGGGGACGTCGGTGGCCGCAGCGGTTTAAGCGTTGACACGGCGCTCATCACTGTAAGGTAAAGGACCCGGGTTCGAATCCAGCGGCCCTGCATTCGAACCCGACATACTTACAAATGGTTTTTGTTTTTCAAAAACACACAAAAAAATGTATCGCTTTCAATCTACATACATGGTAAAGTATGCATGAAAGTTTAAGTCAAATTTTGTATTACGCACGTGCGCGCGCGAGAAAGAGATAAAGTCAGATAGATAAATAGATATATAAATAAAGAGCGTAAAAGGGAGTAATGAGAATAGATAGGAAAAGAGACAGAAAGAAAGACAGATAAATAGATACATAGGTAATGAGAGAAAGAAAAAAAGAGAGAGAAAGAGAGAGAAAAAGGAGAGATAGAGAGAGAGAGAGAAAGGAACAAAACAGTGAGAGCATACAAACTATGCATATTAATTATATTAAGTAACAAGAAAAGTGAAAGGAGGGTTTTACAAAAAGCAAATCTTTTACGAATTAATTAAAAGTTAGTTTATCTTTAAAACCTTTTTAACCTATTAATATAAAACTGATTATTATATATCCCATAAATCTTACGTAAATATGAATGATAGTGTGTTTAAAGTTTGTACATATATTTTGTAAGTAATATTTTCTCGATTTCTAGTTATTACATAAAAACAGAAATCTTAAAGACATCTTGAACCAGATAATCTTATATCTCGAATGTTTATATCAATTATAACATTTTGCATATTTATCATTTGTAATTGAACTCACATAGAAGTTATAGACCAACAGTTCAAGTTTTGTTAACTGAGACCTGGAAAATTTGGCATATGTCTTAATATATATGTATTTGAATGGATCCAACACGACCAGGAATTTCATGACAAGTTTATAAAACTGGATGAAAGTGAAACTGGTGGTCTCGAAGGACGGCTTTTCATTTCAACCAGGGGGGGTGTTTTCAATCTTTTCTCGTATTAAGAGTGTCCGTTTTGTTCGTATACGTTCATGCTTATTAACATATTGACTTCTTACGAAATCAATTACAGCGTGTCCGGGCTTTTCTTGAACCCCAAATCGCCGTGTGACCCGATTTTAGACAAATTGAGTTGGTCACTGTTATTAGATCGAAGTGGCGAATATAATTTTTCTCGCTTATTTAATATTTTGAAAAAATTAAGATACATTGAGGTTGTTCTTCTTGATTTTTCTTGTGCCTGAGGTATAAATACTTGTGCAATTTTAGATTATTTTTATATTTAAACACATGCATATTGTTTAACTTCCTTTTTGTTCTTAAGCATATTAGGGGTGGTACTTTGAAGTCTGTTATAGTAGAATTCCTAATTGATTTTTGTACAAATGTTTGTTTTTATAACTTTTTTCCTCGATTTGTTTACAGTGCAAAAATTTATAAAAATATGTTACTTACGTTGTTAATTTTTTTCCTAAGAAAATAATTTATGAGAATCAAATCTCTTATGAAATTGACTGCTCGGAATTGAAATGTCAATGCCATTGTTTTACTCTTACTTTCACTAGGTTAAAAAAAAATGTGCAATATAAGAATATACAATATGAACACCCTTACCTGTTTTTTACGATAGTTTTCCAAAATCCGCTGTCTAAAGATCAGAAAATCATTGTGTTCAGACTAGTGGGTTACACAAGAAACCCGCGGCTTCCCCGCTGTTCCATTTATCCCGGATTGTGAACCTTTCACTTCCAAAGCCCGAGCTGCGACTAGCTCTCTCTTTCTTGGCCGAGAAGAGGAGAGATCTGAGATACCGTGACGTCGGTTCTTGAGCCTCCCCTCCTGTCAGTCGCCCACCTCGGGAATGAACAAGGACCGGTGGACACGGAACAATGACCCTCTCAATTATCCCGAGGATAGAACAGTCCGTTATTCTAAAACTGGGCTCTTTCGACGACTCGCGTACTAATCGGGTGAGATATTAAACAACGACTGGCCCCCGGGACAAACCGTCCCTGGGAGGGACGAGGATGAGGAAAAGTGCTCCACATTCCCACGACCTTCTTTCCCGAAGGAAAGTGAAAATTCCTCTTTCAGCTCGGCCACCCTTTCCTGGTTGAAAATCAAAACTCGCAAAGGGGAACCAATTGAAATAATTGCAACAACATTTCTAACGATATTGTTGTATTAGTTCCTGTTCGATTGCTGTAAGAAAATATATTTACTTTTAAAAGGATGTAATTAAACCTACTGGAGCATAACGGCCGTTTAAAAATCATGTTCGCTATCATTGTATGCTAACATGGAAGATTATGTCGAAAGAGCGAAAGACAAGGTTTTGTAAATGTTCAAAAACAATTAATGCATTAAATTCTGAGATTGTTTGAGGCCGATCACAATAGATGTTTTAGTTGGTCACATTTTTCTCGTCCTCACTGTATTTTACTTATTCTAAATATTTGGTTAAACGTCAAAATAAGGTTAAGATTCAAGAAGGTACAGGGGAAGGAGTATTCGGTTCTGGAACCAAATACTCAGAACCCATGGGAAGGTACTATCTTCCAAGCTGAGATTCACGCAATCGAGAGATGTACTCAACTCAACTTGAATAAAGGGTACAAAAACAAGAACATAGCTATCATGTCAGATAGCCAAGCAGCCATCAAAGCACTAAGCTCAAATTTAGTTCAAAGATGGTGCTGAACTGCAAAACCAAATTTAAAATATTAGGTACGCAGAACAAGGTCAGCCTCTGCTGGGTCCCAGGACACAAGGGAGTAGAAGGTCACGAGAAAGCGGACATCCTTGCAAGACAAGGAGCTGCAACACCGCTGACATGACCTGAACCCTTCTGTGGCATAGGAACCCACACTATTAATGAGTATCTCAAACAGAAGGACAAAAAGAAAATGAAGGAACAATGAAATTCACTCATTGGACACAGGCAATCCAAGAATCTCTTAACAAATTTCGGAAGAAAAGAAATTACAGAATGTGTCAAAGGAAGCAGGAACAAACTGCGAATCCCAATAGAATCATTCTTAACAGGACACTGCAAGCTAAATGGACACTTAAAGAAGATTGGAATAATCCAAGACGACATATGCAGATTCTGCAAAGAGGCAGAGGAGACACCAACACATCTACTAACAAACTGCGGTGCTACTCTTGCTTGCAGGAGGAAGTGTTTTGGGATGTATAATGTGACCATATAAGAGCTGAAACCAACCACTAAAACTGGGCCTATTAATCAAGTTTCTTGGTGAAATAGGACTCACCGATGTGCTTTAGGCAGAGAATACAATAGCTCTTAAAGGGCGCAGTATATTACACCCCGAATATTACATCTACATCTTCAAGGGTATGATTTCTTCTTGAGGTCTTTTCAATCATTCTGGACTAGCTACCCTCGCTTCATACCGTCCTGTCTGTTACGTTTCGGCAACATCTTTAGCGGTCGATTTGTTGTCGTACCTCACCCTGCTTTAAACCTGTTCAACTAGAGAAGAGATTGTGAAGTCTTTTTGTCATTCTCGTCCTATAATTCTCGTTTGTTAGTCTGTAAGGAGCGTTTGGTCTTCTTGCCGTCTTCAATAGTGGATTTGTTTTCTTGCCTCAATCTGCTTATAATCCTAACTAAGTCCCGTTTTGTTAGTCTGTCTGATTCGTTTCGATTTCTCGCCATCTTCAGTGGGGGTCCTATCTACAATGGTTTATATCCATGACGTCTGATATTTAACTTGTAAGGTATTACACTTAGAAAGGGTCAATTGTACCATGTTTGGGCTTTCCAAACATCTTGGGCTGACTATCCACGCTTATTAGGTCTGTCAGTCGCATTCTGGCATATCTGCATCTTCAGCGGTGGATCTATTGTTCTGCCTAACTTTCCTCATAATGCAGACCAACTACTAAAGAGTCTAAAATGTCTCTTCCGATCATCCCATTCCACAAATCGTAGTTTTGTTAGTCTCTTGGATGGAGTTCGGCTTCATGCCTGCTTCAGGAATGAGTTTGTTCATATCCCAGACCAACTAGCCATTCCCATATGCCTGGCACGAAGTTGTTAAAAATTAGTCTTGCCTTATCCTTCTTTTAACCCTGATCAATAACTGAAGTCATATCCTCGCTTGTTCGTTCTGCCAATCGCGTTCCTGTACCTAAATCTTCAGCCGGGTTTGTTATGTTGCCTCACCCTGTTTATAATCATGACCTGATATTCTGAAGTAGAATAAGAGTTCATAGTCTAACAAATCTTTTCGTTCATTCACATATCCTCGAGAAGCCAATACTAGTGTGCCAGACACTAACAGGCTTCTCAACATCTTTAGTGATGAGCCCTTCTTCAATGTGTTGATATATCCGACCATCGAACGCGTTCCTACTGCCTGACATCAACTTGTTAGTTATTGCATTTTATTATGAAAAGATGATGGTCCAAATCTCACAGCTAAAGATGGTAAAATGCCGAAACGTCTGTCAGATAATCACAGCGAGGGTAGACAGGCCAGAATGTCCAAAACAACAAACTACAAACTACCAGAACCTCACAGAACAGTGTATGAAAAAAAAAGAATGCATTCTTGGTCATAAACCTCAGTGGCGGAAAAAATCACTTAAATCATCATCTTCGTTTTCCGGATATTTACGCAAACATATTTAAATATTCACTTAAAATATCTCAACAACTACTTAAATCGTAAATATTCTTATTTTATTAAATTACTTTTGATAATAACTGGTATAACTGAATGATTTTTCCCTCTATGGCGAGATATAAAACAAAATGTTAGTTACATTTTATAACTGTAATTACACAAATACTCTCCAGAGGGTTTTTGCTTTTCCTGTATTATTATAAATTGAAAGAATATTTATATTAAAAAATGTTTAATTGTTGTAATCTGTGACACTACTGGGGAAAACGGACACGGTAAAAGCAAGCGTTAGTTGAAGAAAAGTGCGCGGTGGAATGTGAAGGGGTATTGCATAGGAGGCTCGATCGGGTCACCCACCAGCACATAAATCCTGATATGCTACCACTCGCGCTTTACCGGCCACAAATGTTGGTTGCTTAAATGCCATCATAAACCACGATCTCATTCGACACCGGGTCCGAGATGTAAGATTAAATCCACATAATTTGTCAAATGCCTCAAACATAATGGATTGTCGTTGTTCACAAATGGATCATTACAAATTAAACAAGAATGTTTGTTTGACATATACTGTTAAATGTTGATGGGGTCCACGAGGTCATGTGGCTCAACAAAAGTTTAGCCAAGAAGGAAACCTTTGAAGGTGTTTACACTTTCAGATAGTTCCAGATGGCAGGACTATGTAACTACAATATTGTTTATATTTAACAGCTTGACTCTTAATAGCACGTTGATCAATATCACTAAAAAAACGAACTTTTATAACAACAAAACTTTGGTTCTTCTTTCCGGCGTCCATTCTCACTTTCAGAAATAAAAATCACACTTTTAAAACGATTAATTCGTTGAATTTTCTTTTTTACTTGCTGTTCGTGTTTAATTAAAGTAAAAATGGGTAAAAACAGTAAGATTCAGTGTCCTGCCTCACCCTGATTATAGTCCTGACGTCCTTTTTCTCTAAACCATTAAACCTAACATTTAATGCGATTAAACTGCTTTACTTTTCTTCTTTCGTATTATTCGCGTTTATGTAAGGTAAAATGAGTAAAACGGTAAAATTCAGCATCCTGCTTACGGTCCTAACGTCCTTTCTCTCTAAGCAATGAAAATGAGCAAAAATGGTAAGATTCGGCGGCCTGCCTCACCCTGCTTTTAGTCCTGACGACCTTGCTGTCTATCCAATTAAATTAAATTTTAGTCAGTAATCACCTATAATATACCAAGAAAATTAATAAAAATGTAAGGATTCAACGCTTTGCTCCTTTGACCTTTCCCCTTTCCTGACCACCACTCTCACACTCTCTCTCTCTCTCTCTCTCTCTCTCTCTCTCTCTCTCTCTCTCTCTCTCATCCTTTCCCACCCATTTTCCTCTTTTAACTCAACTTCCCTCTTCACATTTTCTAACTTAATCTTCCTACTTTTCCTCATTTTCAAACTCTCTTATCTTAATCTCCTTCTTCGCGATTTATTTTTTTTTCTCTCCCCTTTCCCTCATTCAACCGCATGTAAAAAGATATCAAGGACAGGAAACCGACCGTCTGTCAAAAATTAAACAAAACTAACGGTATTTGCCTCTCACTCTGCGGGACAACCGCTGTGGACGTGTTGTTCGTTGCATATCTCTTTCTCGCTTTCGCACAATCGCACAAGTAATGAGATGCTGGATTCAAAAGGAAATTGCGGTATCCAAAGAGGATATTGCAGACCCCTTGTCTATGTTGCTTCACGGAGATTTTTAAAAAGATATTAGGCGTCTGACCAGCGGGTCGTTGAAAAGTGCTAGAGTAGCAATGACCCTCGGATAAGGCACCCTGACATGTGGGGATATAAATAAAACCTATTCATACACATTTATTTATCCTGACCTCCTAACTTTAAATATAATGTTTTGAAAAAGTTTATAGAAACAATATTCCATCTGTTACTTCTGTTAAATAAAACTGTTGGATTTTTATCGCCGTAATATAATACATTTTGTTATAAGTTGTCAGTATTAATTAGTCGTTTACAATTTATTTTTTTCTTAGCTGAGTTGCAATTTCTAATTACAAAGAAGAAAATGTTGTGTGATTGCGTTATAAGTAGTTCGCTAAATTGTGAGAAAAATCTAGAAGACAACTATTAAGATCACTCTTTAGACGATGATAATAATAGAAGAGAATGTAACAATGCAAAACTAGACTTATCATAGAAAAAGAAGAAATTACGATTCCGAATAAATCAAAGTACCTACTCATTGGGTGGGACTTGGAGTACCACGGATCCATACCTGACAATGATAAATCACCTTCATCAACCAGATTGCAGACATTGACGAAAATAGTAATGAATGGAAAAATTGCTATCGGCATTTCCTCTATAACTAGTTTCGTGCTTCATGGGTGACGCGCTAAAAACCGCTGCACTCAGGCAAGGACGTGTTACCTCACCCACTACACAACTGTAACAATTATTGAACCAATTAGGAAGTAAAACTGAATTGTGCAGCGTATAATCATCATGAGAAATGGCAAGACAAATATCGAAATAAATCATCGGATTTTTTAAAAACTAAATACAGGGTGTGTCAACTTCTATAATCCACCTATTTAATTCGGAAACGATTAACTTAAACAAAAAATGATCTTATACAAACCCCAAAGTTGATTTTGGCTAGGAATCGCGTGGTGGTAACAGATTTAATATAACTTTCTCATCTAGCTGAGAAATGACACTAACTTTGTTATTTTAAATGAGAGTCCCATATTTTTACAATTCGATTCTAGAGTTTATTGTATGCCGCTTTTACTGAAAGGAAAATTTTGATAGAATCGACCATTTTTGAGTAGTTAAATCCCAACTCGAAATATTTTCATTTTTCTTTTATGTGTTCTTCTTACAATTCTTGTCAGCCTATTGACCAAACCTGCTGCTTGCAAAAATCTAAAAGTGCTAACCTTTCCTTAAATAATCTAGACAAAGTTTTGATCGAGCTTCCTAGATTTGAGATCGACAGTTCTTATGTCCTGGTTTTATTTTACATAAAAACTTCCATTCACTTGTGATGATTCTTTTAATTTTTTGGCTAAAACTATCGACGTTGATCTGCGAGTAGGTGAATGCAATTTGGACTTACACTCGCATTACAAAGCATTCCGACCAGGTATCGGATGTTCGTATCAAACATATCTGCGTTAAACCGACGCTGGGTCACCCATCTAAGTAGAGTACGGACCACATAAATGACGGTTCAACATGTCTTTAACGAGCTGTTGAGTTCGAAGTTGAGAGTCAACAGTTCTGCTAAGTGAAACAAACTGAAAACCCAAAACATCCTCATATTTCCACACATGATGCAAAGGTTGTTTCATTTCTGTTTGAAACAAAAGAAAACAGAGTTTTTCAACATATCCATTTTTTTATTACGTATGGGAAAATCATTCACGTTTTAAATTTGGCGTTAGATTTGTGCAATGTGACTGGCGATCTAATCTTATATTCCAGAAGTCAAGTAAGAGGACTTTCTTTAGCATTTGAAGCCCCGATTCTAGCCGATAATCTGCAGGTGGGAGTACACGAACACTGGTTTACAGTCTTGGGCAACTTAGATCGGCGCTCAACTTCAAGATTACAAATCTGGACAGCTTCAAAGCCAAAATTATTCAATAACTTTTGGAAGGTCATTGGCTGCATTTGCTAGCTGCTGGTTTTGCATTTTGTATTTGATGTTTTTATTTTTTATGATTTTTTATAGTTTTATTTAAAATTATTGTTTAATTAAAAGTTTTAAAAAGGTTTAATATCTTTTTAATGCTGGATCAAAAGAAAATATCTTCCGATTTCTCGCAATTGTTGGAGAATTAAACGGGCGGGAGAACAAGAGGCGTATTCAAAGGGAAAATAGACTGGTATTATGAATTGGTTTTTTCCAGCTTCGAAAATTGCTAAAAGTTTAAATATAAATACAAAATAAGTAAAAATATATAATATGTATTATTTTATTATAATAACACTGATAAATTTGTTGTGAATAAAATCAATGTAACATTTATGATATGATTGGTGAAATATTAGCCTCTTACGCCCCATACAATAATGTTTGGCTTAGTTAAAGTGTAATTTTACGAATTTTATTCAAATTTGTTAGTGGCTTTATTAAATATTAAATATCCTGTCAATTTTTTTTCATATCAGCTTTCAGAAAGGCCCGACTTTTCGTGCAGGAGAAATATTAATCAGTCGGCGTGGATTATTTAAGCGCTTCAGGCTATTGAGTTGTCGAATGCCAAGGGTGGCGATTTGATCTTGACATTACGCCATCCCCTTGTTTCATGTTCTGTCTGACAAATGTGAAATAGTAAGAATGCCGATCAATGGTGTCACGCGTCCCGTTCTCGATTTCTTCCGATGGGACTTCGCTTTTATTGATGTTGGAGTTCTCTCAATGGGCAGTGACGCGCGCCGGTACAGTTACAGTGCAATTACAAAGCCTTGAGTCCGACTTGATGCGAAACGGTATCGTCCGTATGTTCTAAATATAATTTGCCTTTATTCCCGGCACGTTTCTCACGATTAAACGAACAGCTCATCAGTAGTAAATGTTTGTTTTCTCAGCTGCGACTTAATAACTATATTAAAACTTTTAATTCTACAAAGAACTCATTAATGATTTTTATGAAAATTTAAGTTGCGAAAGGCAGCGATTTTCCTCAATATTATTTTTTTTCATGCAATTTCCACACCTGCATACTTGAAGTGCAAATGCATATGACGGAAGCTGCAAATCGATTTTGTCCACTTCCATTTTTACGAGTTTAAAAATTAATTTAAAATGACTGATACTACAGTTGTTTACAACTATAAATAATTAATGATAAGATAGATAAACAAACAAAGAGAAAATCAGATATGGTTCTAAGGCCAATTCGCCTGGCTTGTCAATTTAATACTAACACCGCAATACAGGCGGGATATGAAATTAGTCGGTACAATTTTTCCCATACAAAATTAAAATTTCCACTCCAATTTTTTGTTTCAGAACATTCTGAATAATTTTATTATATTCCTCCATTGTCCCTCTTTAATGTGAACTCCTCCAAAATCGAAATTTTCGCAGTTTGAGTTTCAGACCTTTCTGAACAAATTTGGTTCCGTGTTTGTCTGTGGTCAATTCCTAGTAACCAGCAAAAGTCCGAAACCAATTTTTATGAAATTTTCAGAGATTGTGCGGGTTGGCCCCCTATAAATTTCATCCCAATCAGACTAATGGTATGACCTACAGTTGCGCAAAAGTAAAATCCCCTACACAGCTGAATCTCTGAAACCATTTATATAAAAATTATTATTAATAATTTATTATTATTATAAAATAGTTTATAAATTTCACCCAATCGTATCAACAGTATCACATGCACATATGCATACGTACAATCACATTCACAGCTATATCTCTGGGCCCATCCTGTTTATACTGATTTCGTTTATACTGCTGACACTCAATGGTATCTTCTACCCAAATCATTCCTTGCTACCTCTAACATCCAAAAAATTTTTCAAAGACTGCTTCAAAAAGTATAGAGCAAGACTGAAAAAAAATCTAGCCAGATGAATTACATTGAAAAACAGTCTTTTCCCACTGTACATCAACAATGAGCTACTGACTTCTACAAAAGTCACTTAGGACTATATTTATACAGCAGACTGACACTTCGACATCGCGCCATCATCGGCGAGGAACTCAGAACTCAAGAGTGAGTTTGCACATTTATAAATTTTCTGTCTTTGAGTTTTATTTGTTTGTATATCTTTATGTTCTCTAGTTCATTGATACTTACTTCTCTCACTTTGTTAAAATTTATTTATCTATTAAATGCAAAGAATAATCAATGTAAAAGAGATGTCAGAGGGAAACTGATCAGGAACAACATTTAGGAATATTATTGATCAACAAAAGGGAATAACAGAAAAATCATATAGATGGACATGTTTATTTTTTGGTTATTTATTAACGCCATCGGAAAAAAATTAAACAAATTATTGTTAAAAATTATAATATAAAATAAATAATTAGACACGGTGTACACTGTGTTAAACCACAAATTTTAGTTTGTCTCAAGTTCTAGCCAACATTAAATTGTAGTCAATGTAAAATATACCTATACAAATTTTAAAATTGTCAGTTTTAAATAACACAAATGACTCTCATATTCAACAAATTCAATAATCAACATTTATTTGAATACATCTTTAAAATTTTACAATATTTTTTGGCAAAAAGTTAATAAACAATCACAAAACCATGTAATAAAAGATAAAATGTAATTGATTCTCATAGAAGGTGGAAAAGTTTATATTATAAAATATTTAAACAACTTATTGTCTTTTGTTTGTGCGAAGTAATACAATTCCTCCAATTAGAATTAAATATGTATATTTATAAATTTGTCCCTGGCAATATTGTATGGAACCAAATTGCACATAATAAATCACAGCCATTATTTAAAAAATGGACTTTAAGCCTTTTACAACATGTTGAATATTACATATACATATATTTACAATAAAATGTATTTGAAAAGTCCCAAAATTTTGAGGTTGTTAAGAAGTCTTTTAATTCCCAAATGCTATCTCCAAATTTTCAACTTCTTGTCTTCACCGCCAGTTACGACAACACCACCATCATCAGCTACGCAAATCGATAAAATAGCACCTGAAAACAAATTTAAAAGTTGTAAAATGTCTTTACCAAAAAATTAAAACTTTTTAAATTATACCGTTATGAGCTTTAATCTCTTTGACGAGTGTAACATTGACAAGATCCCAAAGGTATAAACTACCATGAGCCCCACCAATAAGTAGCGTTTTGCCATCCCAAGCTAAACATCTAAAAAAAAAAGTTTATTTTTGTATTATATGTTGTGTTTTCCTAGTACTTAAATCTCTTACTTAAGTTTTTGAATAAGACATTTTGAAAAGACAACAGTCCCTGTGCAAAGATCGTACACCTTCAAAGTTCTATCATCACTGCATGTCACCAATTTCGTCCCATCAGCAGAAAACTGAATGCTATTGACTGCTTCTTTATGACCTAAAAATTGATATTAAGAAGATTTTGTCCTTTTTTTTTTTTTTGGTTCTTTTCAAAATTTTACCTGGAAGGCTTTTTACTATTGAAAAGGATTTCAATGACCAAAGGAATATTTCTCCTTCCGAAGTTCCTGTAGCCAACAAAGTGTAGGAGCTATAAATCAAAATTTGTTTAAATTTATTTTAAGTGGAGTGATTTTTATTTTATAGGATAATCAGAAAGTAAACTAAATTAACCTACTTGTTAACAGCAATTGACATTATTTTGTCATCATGATCCAGTTGAGCAATGAGATCTGATGCTGGTTTGATACTCGTCAAAGGTTTCCTCAATTTCCAGACCCGGACTGAACAGTCCCACGAACCAGTTAAAACTAAAGAAGGAGGAGCCCAGGCCAAGCAAGAAACGGCATCTTCATGTCCTCTAACTCGTTCGACAATCCTTCCACATTCGACATCATAAACAATCCTAAAATTTTGAATGTTTAAAAACCAAACAAAAAATTAAAATTTAGCGAGTAATTATTTACAAAGTGCTGTCCATTGAACCAGCTAAAACAGTAGTCGAGTCGTTAAGTATAAGAACTGCTGTTAAAGGCAGGCCGCTTAAATTGACACTTCTTTCTCGAGTGGCTGATATCGCGTTATGGATCTTTAATGTAGAATCACTCGAAACGGATGCAACAAGTCTGCCGTCAGAGCTCAACGAGAGGGCAGTCACGCCCATTTTGTGACAACTGATCTCCGCGCTGATTGCCATATCTTCCAAGTTTCTCCAGTTGACTAAAAAACATATGATTAGTTGTAATGAAAAAATCAAAGTATTTTCAAACTTACCAGTCGGACTGACTGAAGGCGGTATAGCACAATGTCTTCTAGGATGCGGTTGTGTGAAGATCTGTTTTGGAACTTGTCCAAACTCCATGATCTGAACTTCTTTCGAGTGCCTCTCATTCCAGTCCTTAATGCCTTCAAGATTAACTGAACCCTCGTAGCACAGATAATAAAATACTGTCAAATAATTAAATAATACTTTAACTATTATAAAAGTGAACAAAATTGGTAATTACTGCAAGAGAGTAAGTGACATTTTTGGTAGTACATCATAAATCAAAGCAGGAATAATAATTTTATGATATTCAGAAATAATGTACGAACAATTATTTTAGATGCAAATAGCATAGACAAAGGCTTTATATTTATGCTTCTGATTTTCATCAGTTTCATTTTAACAACATTATAGGGGACTGCAGTAGCCGAGTGATTACAGCACCAGATTCTCGGCTTGTTGACCACATGGTTGCGGGTTTGAGCCTCTTAATGAGATTAATAATAAATAAGTTTGGGAAGCTGGGGAAAGAAGCCTTTCAACCTATTATACCAAAATTTTCATGGTAGCCTTGAATATTAGAAAAGTTAATATTTTTTGAATCGACACATTATCAGCAGTAAATGGCATAAAGCTAAAACAATACATTTTTCCTAAGGGAAAAAAATTGTAAATAACCAATTTGGACAAAACAGCATGCCTAGATCAGCCCTTAAATTTCCTTTAATTAGCTGTTTTGTAAATATTGTGTTGGTCAGTTTGTTTGGAAGAGATTTAAACAATTAGGGTGAACAAATTTTGATCAGCTCTAATCACCTTGGTCTGCTCAGTCACGATGTCAAAATCGCATCTGACCAAGAAAACAAGTGAGAATAGATAAACCAGGATCATCAGAAACAGTCAAATGACAGACCTCATCACCTTTTGGTAATGAAAAAATTCAACATTCATTCTTAGTATCATCAAATTGTGTTGACTAGTCCTTAAGGAATCTAATCAAATTATTTAGCAATCATCACTTATCAAAGCAAATATTTAGAACACACATTTCAGCTATTAAAACAGAAAAAAAAGTGTGTTATTTTTTTTTTAAATATTAATGTTGATTAATATTTTTTTTTAAATAACACACTTTTTTTTTAACAATTTATTTGTTTATAATTGAATAGCTTAGAACTGAGCTGGGTTGCTTTCTTTTAAACATTCAAGGAAATAATTAGCAGTCGACTCAAATAAAACTTTTATTTATGACTTTTATCAAATAAAATAATTTATTTAATAATAAATTTTATTTAATAATAAATAAATAATTAGGAGAACTGTTTTATTTAATTCCAATTTGTTAAATTAATCATTTTAATGGTTATGTAATAACTTTTGAGAAATAGTTATCAATAAAATAAAAAACATGGTACTTTACCATTATTTGCCTTTTCTGCTTCTTCACCTCGTTGTTTGTAGCCAAAGATCAAATCAATCCAATCATGGAGTTGTGCAGATGCATAATCTGACTCCAAGGCATCTCTGAGTTTGCGTACGAAATCCGCTCTGTCTGAAAACATCAAATTCAGTAGCTTAGAGAGCAAAACCTCAAAGGAAATCCTCACCTTCTGCCCAAGGTGGCAAAGTAACATTATTTACTTTTGTCCCGTCATGCCTGTAGCCGAACTGAATGCCTTTCAGGTTGTCAAGAAAATCCCCTTCGTTTGACACATCATAGAATTCCGGAACGAGCTCCTTGAAGTCTGACATGTTGGTCTGAACGTTTCTCCACACGTCGCTGATGCTGTTGAACATCCTGTCGGGGTGGTCAAATCGCCCGTTCTGGAGGCAGAGCATGTAATGCGGGTACTTTCGCACAAGGTAGAAAAGTACGAACCCAGGGGCGGAGTAGTGCGAGCCGTAGAGGAACTTCGGTGGAGGCATCTCATCGTACCTCTCCTATAAATACATTTTTCAAACTCTTTAAAATAATATGACAAAATTAAAGCATACCTTGAGTTTTTGAAACCTCTCTAGATTCAATGCGCCAATCGGTTTTGACAAATCCCTGAATGATCGGGCGTTCGACAAGTCTAGTTGAGATGAAGTGTAATCTGAAATTACCCACGGGAACACTGGATATTGTGTTAAATCATTAAAAGTTCTATCTGCCTGGCTGTAAAAAAAAAAAAAAAAATTTCAATACAAATAACCTAATAAAAATTAATAAAAACATACCTGTTTAAATAAAGCAGATATTCATAATTAGAAATGGCTCCATTCTGCCACTGTAAAGTCATAATTTCTTGATGCGAATCTACAAGATTTAGGGGTTGAGCAAGTAGACAATCATACAGCAAATCCCGATCTGATTTTGTCTTCAGTGAAAGGTAAAGATGTGTATCTTTATAACTTATTTCTAAACCCTTGAAAGAAAAAGTACTGAACAAACTTAAAATATTTCAATTTTTTTTCTAATTATACTTACAACATGTTGAAGAAGGAAACGCCTTTTAGTAATACTCTTAATATCTAAAAGACTTATCTTCAGGATGTGATACTAAAAGAAAACTGATTACAATTTTTACTGCAGATCTTTAGTAAAATTTTACTTACAGGTTCAATTTTATTGAATGGTTGGTAATACAGAGTGGTTGTTGAGAGAATCACTCGGCCGTGATTCATGACAAGTGGTGTGACTTTGTTTCCAGTGGTTTCCAAAACAATATGCTCATCAACATCCTGAAGCCAAAGTGGGTCAAACTTTACTAAAGACTGCCTTGATAATTCAATCGCCGCCACCTATGGAAAAAAGTCAATCAATTAAAACATGAAGAAATCATGAAAAATAAAAAAATAAAATCAATGATCTTAGAATTTATTACCATTTGATTTTGTTCTGCAGCAGGCAGTGTAGATGCGCGATGTAACTGAGATACAAGTGGCAAGCAATCTTTTATATGAGCGTAGTTCAAAGAAAATAAAAACGTTCTCTGAAACTATGAGAAATCCATGTTATAAAAGAAAATTTAAAATATATATGATTATTTTTGTTTTATTACTTACATTCTTAAATTTATATGGAGCGAGGACATTCCCTTCTGAAATTTCTATATGTTGTTTACAATTCACTTGTAAAACATTTGTGTTTGCGTCATTCCTAATAAAGGCAAATTTATTAATTTTTGTTATCAAACAGCACAAAGAAAATGTACATACTCTGATTGAAAGTCTGGAACATATCCCTGGACGATCGTCAGGTAACCTGGTAAATGGGGGCTGGTGCTAGAGCAGCAGAACAATTATTAAATAACATACCAATGCAATTTGGCAAAAAAACACAAACCTGACAGAATCATTGGTTTCGTAGCGCGAAATTTCGGTGCATTCTTTTAAAAGGAGTTTCACTATGGGCTTATGGTGGTTCTGAGGATCGAAAACAAGGGATTTTGAACAGACCTTGAGCCTTCCGATTTCCGAAGGTGTTTTGCCATCAGTGCTTTGAAAATGAACACTGTAGTCCTCAAAATAGATCTCCCCAGGTTCTAATAAAAGTAGGGAGAATCTGAAATTAAAATTGACAATGGTATTTTAAAAGTGCATTGTTTTACTAAATATTTTTGGCTTTAAATAAAAAGATTCTAGTTATGAAAAATTTAGTGTTTTTGTAATTGTTATACTAGGACACGTGTAAACAAAACCCAAACTGTCCTGAGCCTTATTAAATCAACAATTGGCACTGTAAGGAAATCTGTAAGCATGAAAGCCTAAATTGCCCTACAACTAAATAAATGTCATCCAAAATTGATAAAACTTGTAGAATTATAATCAAAAAATGATTGAACGAAAAGAAAATTCCTTTCTAATCTTGAACAACTTATGTTGTAATGTAATAAATATGATCCTATTAACTGTAATCATGAGTCAGCAAGGTCAATTATACCATAATCAGGCATCCAAACTTGGAAAAGTTTATACACCCAATAAACAATGTGTTATTTAATCAGTATTTAATACAGTGTATTAAAACTGAATAGCATTAATTTAAAAAACTTCACTTTATTTTAACTATAAACAAACCTCATTGAACTAAACTTTTGTCACAGAATTTTTATTTGGAGAGGTCAGTAATTCCAGGGACAATGGTGGGAATTGAACCCACGACTTTAGTCCCCTCACCTGAGCATAAACATCTGAAGTAAATGGCAAGGCAAAAGTACACCTCTGCAGAAATAAACGAAAATGGGTCCCACTCGTAACTCTATCTTTTCATCTCCACCACACTACATAAAAATTATAAATCACTTTCAATTACTGCTCTTTGGTCAGCTAAGACCAACTAAAACATATTAATACAATAATTGTTGAAGGGTCTCTACTTCTCTAATATCTCCCAGTTGTCACTTCAAGTTCGCCAAAGACCCAAAATGATTATATGTTATTTGAGTATAAGGAAAAAAAAGAGAAAAGTGAAAAAGTAGGCTGAGATGGTGAGTTGGTGTCTCAAGGGTACTGAAGTCACAGCTCAAGTTAGAGCAGCAGCATATTGAGCCAAAGGTTGTGGGTTCGAGTGCCGTTCATGACACTAATCTTTTCATTACAACCACACTTTACTAAAAATTATAAATCACCTTAAATAAATAACTAATGCCACAGCCTCTACCAAGTACTGACATTGAAACATTAATATTATAACAGTTTTATTTTTTAAAATAAATAAAAATAAAAACCCACACCCAACCGCATCTCACGATATCTGAATAAAAATAAAAACATAGGTAAAGGCAATCTAAAGGGAAAAGACACACAATTAATTAACAAACAACATTTATCAACATAAATTGGCTAAAATGACTAGTTCACATCAACCAAAATTTATAAAGTGACTCAGAACTGAATAACTGAACTAAAGTTTCAAAAATGAGTTTAAAAAAACATTTAACTGAATTTTACAGTAAAAAGTGGCTTTTCATTTAAGCAGTAATTCACCCCTTGAAAAGGTTTTGACTCTAAAATAGTTAAATCTGATTTCAGCAAGCAAAAGACGCTACCTTGGGAAAGAGAAGAAAATGAATTTATCTTCACAAATACTATTTTTTCAAAGGCAACATCTTTCAACGGTACAATCTTTTTGGAGTCAACATTTGTAATTTGAAGACAAAAATTTAGGTCGTTAATTCTTCAAAGATCTTTTTATAATATTAATATGCGAGAGCTTTATACAAAACAAAGTTATCAGAAAACTGTAGGCGAGCTTTTATACTTTTATTTTGTCAGCTTAACTCAATGTTCCCAAGAAGAAATATCGTTCAAAGACTCAGAAAAATCAGAGTATCGCTATCAAAGAAATCCATCTTAAACCACCAGTCTTTTTTATAACTTCTAGGAAAGTGATTTTTGGTAAACAGTGCTATGGAAAATTTAGCATTTTCAGGCAGTACTTTAGATGAAGATGTTTGGTATACAAAATACAGGTTCCATTTCAGTTTCTAAAGCTAACATAGAGTTAAGAGTGATAGACGGCAAAGTGAACAGTTTTATGACCAAAGTGAACATTACATGACCATGAAGTATTATCCGGATGTGGTACTGCTATTTTCGAAAGGAAATAATAACAACTAATGAAATTAAGCAAGGATGTTTCTAGAAAATTTGGATTTGTTATTTATAAATTTTTCCCTGCTTATCCTCTGTTAAGCACTTTCTATCTTTCAGGTTAAACCAATTTACCATTAACATTGCAAAATGCTGAAATGTACAGACCCAGTGAATATGAGATAATTTAGAGCGACCAAACTACAGATATAACCCCGTAAGCCTTTTCAAAATTTCAATTCTAACCATTTCTAGAAAATTGCTCGAATTAAGAAGTGTCTTTGTACATTGTGTAAAATATGGTGAACTGACAATAGATTTGGCCATGTGGCAAACAGGAAGGTCATCAAATAAGTAAAAACTTCAAAATTAGAAACAATCACTTTTATAAAATACTTATTCACTCAATTTTTTTATGCATATATATGNTTAATGAGGGTTTGCAACAGAGAGGTTGTATCAACCCTCAGGGTGCTGGTGTTTTTGAAAAAAAGACGATTTGTAAATATGATGCAGGGCCATTGGATTCGAACCCAGGACCTTTATCTGATGAGCGCCGTGTCAATGCCTAAACGTTGCGGCCACCAACGCCCCTTCAAAGAGATTAATCTTTGGATTTGGCACAAAAATGCTGTTATTGATAACAGAAAAGCAGGTTTTTTTTTTTCTTTCTTAGCCTTAAGAGCATTAAAATTAGCCATATTATTTTTTAAAACAAATACTTAGGAGTAATATTGTATATTTCCTGTATGCAGGTTGATTATTTTAGTATAAATTTTTTAGTATAAAATAAGAAAAGGATATGCCAAAAGGCAAAAATAAATTTCAAAAAGAAAAAACCTCTATCAAGAAAGACACTATCTGTTGATAACACAAAAAGATACAGGGGCCCAAAACCAAATTCTCGAAACTGTGGTATTGTCCACGTAGGAGGTGATGACAGTATTAGGGTGTATAGGTAGGTCAGCAGTATAAATTATTTTCAGAAATTGTGAGATGCGGTTTGGTGTGATGTAGGTTTCAGAAAAACATTTTCTTTATCGTGCTTTCTGTCTCGTGTCTCGTAATTTATACAATGCAAAATATATTTTTTATATTCAATCAAAGTATTTCTACTCACTAAAAGTGTTTAGTGAGTAGAAATACTTTGATTGAATATAAAAAATATATTTTGCGTTGTATAAATTACGAGGCACTATACAGAAGGCATGATAAAGAAAATGTTTTTCTGAAACCTACATCACACCAGACTGCATCTCACGATTTCTGAATAATTATCAACTAAGGGTCACTAATCACCACACAGTATAAATTATATAAAGGATGGGATAATGCTCCTATGTGGGAGCGGACTTGTATCTGTCTAACTTCCGAGAACCAGTTGTCTACCTCAACTCTCTCTACAAACTGTACTCTCTTACAAAAAATTTAAAATACTTTAGTACAGGATTGCAACTTAGTTCTGCTGTAGCCTTACTTCTTATTCTTCGATTATATTCATCATCACTGTTCCTCAGAGAAGTGGCACAATGTCAACCCTAATTGGACCCTCTCTATCGTCCCGCAGTTTTTCATAATAGCCAATTCGATCACAATCTGTAGATTTTACAAAAATATTGGCTAGTATGGACTATAAAAAAAGTAATGGAACCTTTTTTTTTACTTTTTTATGATTTTTTTTTGTTTTTCTAATTTATTTGTGTCCTGTTTGTCTTGTTGTATAATCAAAGTCAATTGTCTAATAAGAAAATAAAAAATAGACACTTTTTAGTCTTACAATCAGTGTCATGCTTTCACTTTCTACTGCACAATAAGATGTTGCCAAATAAAAACCCCAAAACAATGGTTTCTAGGTCAATTGACTCCCAACCACAATTCTAGAGTCAACATGACTATATACATTATTAAATATAATTCTAAAATATCAATTTAAGTCTATGACATGCTGACCCTATAGTTTCAATGTCTTCTTTTTTTTATATTAGCCCAAAATGCACTGTGAGGCTGATTGGTACTAGATATTACACTATCAGCCCTCTCACTCATTTACACATACAACTATATACATACGAACTATACAGCTAAACAATAGTTATACACAATATTTACAAATTAAAGATTGGGCAATACCCCATTTTCTTTAAAAATCAGACCAGGGGACCCAGCAGCAAAGAAATGTCTTTGGAAGGTGCCATGCCTTCTTGCTCCCTGTAAGGGGCTACAGCCTGGCACTCCTCGGTCAAGTGTGTCACACAGAGACCTTTTTCTACAAGCTGTAAACCTGCGCAGGGTTTGTCTCAACAGCGGTGTCCAGTGTCAATCGGGTTGCCTATCATCAAATGTGTAAGCACAATCCTGACCTTGTGTTTCAGACCATCAGAACCTGTAATGAATCTCAGACCTACAGAAGACGGCAACATGCAAAACATGTCTGACAGACAAAACCAACAAGAATAAGCTAATCAAGATGTTTCAGTGTTAATCAAGCTACAAGTATAAATAGTAGAAACCTTCTTTATAAACACAAACATATGTTTGATCATATAAAAATGAAAATATGATACATTTTTGAATAACCGCTCAAACCCCATCACATTCATAGAACATTTCAGGCATATCAACTATTAAATTTATACAGCCTGTCAATTCTATTAAATTATTAAACATTTAAGTGAAATATCATAAAGTTGTGTGCTGATACACTTGATAAAATAAATTGTTCCTGCATAAATAATGACAATCATGATTTACACAAATATGAATAAGGTAGAGTAATCACATTGGAAAGTTGGGTATTGGGACTGATTGAATCATGTTTGAGTATGTACTTCTTTAATGTTGAACCACAAGAAGATGACATTCTTTGTAAATATATGCTCTTAATTAATAATATTATAATTAAAGTAGCTTTTGTATACAGAAACAGACTTGTTTTGTATGTTTTCTTTTGGCTTGTACATGTCCGAAGCTGAATTAACTAAATCGGCCTGATGATGCACAGAAGCATTGTAACTCGTTGCAATTTACCTGTGTTTATCCATAGTTATGATCTATGAGCAACCAGCCACCCCAGTTTTCATGATTGTAACATAACAGATACCTCACTTTCTTATCTGATAACTTCCAGTGACTTCCACTCTTTTTTTGTATATTTGTGAAATATGGTAGAAAAAAAACCACAGAGGAATGCTTGCAGGTTGATATCCAAAGATTGTGGTTCTAATAAAAGATAAAAATTATCCGACTAAAATATAATGACGTCTAATTGGCTTAAGGAGGGAAATTCAAAATCATCCTGGCTAAAATATTCAAATTTATACCACAGAAAATAATGATTCATCATGCTGAAATGTCAGAAATTTCTACACAATTGTTCAGCCTCTAATTAAGCTAAGCTAATATTCTTCATTTTGTTGCAAATATAAATCTAAAAATAACTTTTATCTCTTTACAATTTATAATATTTTACCTAAACAATCAAATACAATTACAAAAATTTTGAGAACAGCAAGGCCCTTGAGAACTAATTCTAGTTAGAATAAAATTTGATCGCAAAATTGCTGCAAGTTAATAAAAGAAGGAAATTCAAAATGTTAAAATATACAATTCTTTTTATTTAAAACTAAAGATTCAGGATTGTTTTGCTCCAACACATCTAGGCACTAAATCAGTCTCTTTTGCCTTATTAAAAGTACAACTTGTGATAACAATATTTGAGGATCAGGGCTGGATGGACAAATAATTGTAATAATAACCAAACTTTACTGAATAAATGATATGTAATACAAAATAAAGTATATTAGCACAATGGTATTTTATCAGCTGTCTGGATGGTTTAAAGATTTAGATCAACCAAGAAATTCCATTATTTGACCCAGGCGTATTGACTATTTTTTCCTTGGCTGTGTTCTAGGTCCCAAAACACCTGCAATATGTAGCACAATTTGATAGGAGTCACCTTACAGAATCTACAGAAACTGCGTTGGTTGATGCCAACCTTACGCCCTTCCTAACCTCTTTAGTTTGTTCACTTTTAGTTTTTGATGTTTAAGCATTGACTGCTTGAATATATGCCTTTGTGTATTCTTTATTTAAATTAAATTGCATACATCTCTCAATTGCATGGTCTTTTATATTGGCATACTACCCATGGAGTTCTCAATTTTGAGACCAGATACACCTGCTCCCGTACTTTTTTACATCTTTCCTAGACTGTGAGTTTTTCCATTTTGGTACCTACTACCTAGTTCATCTGGAAGTTTTGCTTGAATTTGAATAAATCGTTCAAGCTCAAGTGTGTACTGTTAAAAGCATATCATGTGATAATCATATATTTATATTTGTTCCACCATGGTTTAACCGTATCACATTTATTGTCTTTTTAAGGGCCAATTTAAATAAAATGAGTATCCCTTTCTCACCAATGACTAGAAACTGCACATTGGCTTTGTCAGGTGATCATACTGATTCTTTGTCTCAACCAGAATGTAAAAATAAATGTTTCCACATAAAAATTTATCTTAACATTTGCAAACTACTACCCTGTAGATATCTATTATTTTTTTCCATTAGAAATATTTGTATATGACAAACTATGTATATATAAACTGTTTCAAGTTACATCACAACCTCAATTTATAGATGGAGGATGATTTTTAAGTGGATTCAAATCTTTACGTTTCACTGAGTGAACATATTAACCATTTTGGGACTACTGACACTCCCCAGGCCTAGTGACGAGTTAGGGATATCTCTACCTCATGGTTTTTTTGCCTTTTAAGAGCCCTATCTGGGCACGTGCGGCATCTATTGGGTTGAGGTTAATTCCAAAGTGTACAAGAAATGAGAGTAGTGCATGGAGTCCGCCCACACCCTACCTCATCATCAACAAACCACTCTTTTCTGCCCCTTCTGTTCACAGATCTCTTTCAAACTTTTGCCAAATTGCGTCACTATCATTTTTCTGGAAAACCATTTGGCCACCATATGTACACGTAGAAATGTCCTACTTTCGACTTCCTCTTGTTGCTTGTTTGTTTTCTCTCTCCTTACATTCACTTAAGTTGTAAGGTATAATATCTGAGGAATGTACTATCAAGTGCTGTATGGAATTGCAGCAGCATAAAAGGAGTAACATCAATTCAAATGGAACGCTTTGAAATTCGATGCATAATATAAAATAAAACAGAGTGGGGGGGGGGCACTAGCGACTGAGGCTATAGGCAGGGGAAAGTGTTTTAACATCCAAAAATCAGTCCCACAAGGTTAAATCTATGTTTAAATATGTTTGTGCCCAAGAGCAAGTTTAACTGTAAATTCCAATAAATAAATAAAACACAAAAGTGAGGAAACACAAAATATTTGAATAGAATGTATTGAAAAATTTATAATTGGTTTGTTATTCTGCCTGTGTAAAAATAATGAAATTAAAAACTATTTAAGAAAATAATTTCTTATTTCTTTTGCTTCTTTTTCTCAGCCTCTTCTTCTTTTTCTTTCTCGACACTCGTAACATACATATCAATTGTGTCTACATCCAGCATCTGCAAGAAAAGAAAAAAGGTTAAATTTAAATCATTTGAAGGAATTAATTATTTAAAAAAGCAATCACCTTAAGAGGTGCATTACGCCGCATAACAGCGACTTCTAAATTTTTCTTTCCAGACTGAACTACTTCAAGTAATGCTTTGACAGCTAGTTTGACGACTCCTTCTTCAGACTTGAGATCAGATCCCTCATAATTTTTTTCAAGGAATTCTTTTACTGCCTTTGCTCCCCTGCCAGTGGCATTAGCCTGAAAAAATAAAGATATTGATATACATTTTAAAACAAATAAATAAATAAAATACCTTCCATTCATAGAAGATTCCTGAGGGGTCAGTTTGAAAAAGATGGGGCGTGCCATCAAAATCGAAACCAGCGAGTAGGCAGGAAATGCCAAAAGGCCTTCGACCATTGCTCTGTGTGTACTTTTGCTTCAGGCCGGCTATGTATCTAGTTATGTACTCGACTGTCACTGGATCTTCGACAGTTAACTTGTGCGATTGACATTCTATTTGAGCTCGGTTGATTAATATCCTAGCATCTGCTGTTAGACCTAAAAAAACAAAACAATAAAACAATCAAAGTCAATTTAAGTCACTTGAACAATTCAGTGATACTCGTACCTGCAAATGCCATGACAATATGATCATCAAGTAGGCAAATTTTCCTAACAGTCCTCTCCTCTTGAAGTTTGGCGATAGACTTTTTCTCGACACCAAGAACAACACAGTTCTCACCTCTAACACCAACCTAAAAAATTAATGTTGCTCATAACTTCATTTCATATAGACCTTTAGTAGCAAAAAGTAACTATTGTAAGATGTTGCTGGTCAATCTTCAAATTTTTACTAAAAAGGTAGATATGTTACAATTTTGTGAGAAAATATAATTTCCAATTTTGACAATCTCTTGCTTGAAAAGCATTCCAAAGCCACTGAAGTAATAAATATGTTAATATTTAACCAACTAACAAGCTTCAGAATACTATTTTAATATTTGAAAATTGTTTACTATTTGGTTTATTTATGGATATTTTAATACATATTAACTTTTCATTGAAATCCCATAAATTATAATAAGGATCATTTAGAGGGCGGTACCTGGGGCTGCAATGGATAAGGTGTTGACATGGTAACTCTTTTTAAAAAATAGCGTCATCCTACGAGTTGATATGATTTTTGGAGGAAACAGGTCTTTATTATTGTATTGTATAGATTTCTTATTTTGTTCCCTTGAGAGTGAATGTGTAGCGTGAGAGGGCTAAAGATGGGATACTGAGTACCCCATCGACCCACAAATAAACTTACTTATGTGATATGTGTACAGGGAATTTATAAGGAAGGAAAATAGACACTATAATATTAGGAATAATAACAATAATTGAGTGGAGGAGCATAACTTCAGTGGCAGGATAAAAGTGAGGTCTGACCCCCCAACTGAAAAAAAACCCACAGTAGGTAATATCGCAGACTGCCACAAGAAGTCACAAGCTCAATTCTGTAGAATGTATGTATGTGCATTTTGTGTGCGAAGTTGAGATTAAATCAATCAATCAAAGATAGCAATATTATGGAAAAAACACTTAAAATTAGAAATTGAAGATTATTACAAATTACATGTTCTGAGGGGAACGAGGTGAGCCAGAATGGGTCCAGTCACTCAGAAAACCTCAGATTATAATGTCTGGAATCTTTTTTTCGGGTTGATAGAACACTATGACTGGAGTGAACTTCAACTTTGGATTCCACTGAAACCATTACTTACATTGTCAACTAATTCTATTTGAAGTTTCAAATTATATTATCACATTTACCAATTTATAACGAAGTATAAATTCAAAGCAGTGGATCGTAAATTTATACCTTGACTTGTATTTTTTATTATTTCATTACTGCATGACTACCATGAAGTTAGCAAAGTAAAGTTCATCCAAGAAATTAGCAACATATTGTTGGATATTTGCCTATCATACTGATTTTTGTCAATTCAGACATGTTACACCATCTTCTTTCACTGATGTCTGAATTAACAAACATCAGCAAGGACAGGAAGATCAGGATGATAGATAACTACCAAGCAATATGTTTATCATCCCACAGACCAAAGGGGGAAATCTCACAATTTAATGAGCAACAAGATCTGAAATTATGAGGCATTCAAATGGAACACAGATTTACATATTTTTTGGCAATCAGGAGCTATAAAACCACTAAGTTGGATGGTGAGGTTTATTCCCAATTGAACTTATACTGATACAGTCATCCTGGTTTATGAATCATGGATGTCCCCAATTTTATCAACAGCAGCTTTATACATCTATACAATACCATAAACGTGATTAAATTATTGCATTCCATTCCAACATAGATGCGGGCGCAACTGATGCAATATTAGCCGGATTGATGTTTGTGTGCCTCCCATTAGTCGTTGGGTAAGTGGGGAACACCCGAAGCCACCCGATGCAAATCCAATGTCCAATTTTCCATAAGATTGTATTATGCAGATCTGCCCAATGTCACACAACACTGCTCTACTCTATGCTATGTGATGCAACCAAGTTCTCTACTGACCAGATTTTCGAGAAGTGTCAAGAAAGTCGAAGACAAAAGAACCAGACACTCATGTTTTTATTTCAAATTATATGTATTATTGCAGTTACATTAATTACAACATGCTTATTTTAATATAAACCAAGTGATCCAAAATTCAGGAGTTTTAATTTAAAGAAATTAATTTCAATGGTTTGGCAGAAAATTTATCGAAACACCAGAATACCATTTATTGACAGAATGAACTAACAATTTATTGCACGGTTTTGCTCATAAAATTTAACTAACAATTTATTACATGGTTTTGCTCATAAAATTACACCATTTTCGTTGAGTAATGTCAGAACCTGACACTCATATTTTTTGTAGTTTATTTCAAACTATGTAGGTGGAATTTTGTCGTTATATTAATTACAACATGGTTATTTTAATGTACACCAAAATTAAACGAGATAAAAATTCATGTGTTTTTATAAAAACTATTTAATTATGATGGTTATACAGAAAATGTATCAAAACACTGGAATAACTTTATTTATGATTATTCAGAGATCGTGAGATGCGGTCTGGTGTGACGTAGGTTTTAGAAAAACATTTTCTTTATCGTGCCAACGTTTCGATCTTTATTGAGATCATCTACAGGGCTCAAAGTGTTTGTTTTTCGTGTATATGTGTCATCCTTTCCTGTTGTGTTGAGAGTCTGTAATTTGAGACTTTATTTACAACAATAAAATTTAACGAACAATTTTATACATGGTTCTGCTCATAAAATTTAACTGACAATTTATTACATGGTTTTGCTCAAAATAATGCATTAAGCACAAAAGAGGCATTGCGATTGTGATACTGATTTGTGATGCACACTGTATGTGGCATGCACTTGACGACGTGTAGATGTGCACACCCTACCAAAATTGGCAAGGCGTCGGGTCACATCACATTACATTGCGCCGGGTGTGTTCCCCGTTTTACCCAACTGCTGAAGGAACACACATACGTTGGTGTATGAGTATCGGTATGCATCAAGGGCAATAATTAGATGCTATGTATTGGTCGGTATATTGGCATAGTGTACAATGTGTATTATGTACAGCATGTATGTATAATGTTTAACGTATTTTTTGATTAAATAGATTATAAACGTCTCATCTCATAGCAACTCTTAATCCCAAGCTGACAGATCGATACAGGAGAATGATTAAACAGATATTTACTCAGATAATTGATTCCGTGAAATTCCGTTTGACAATTATAAAGTTCGTATAGTAATAATATAATAATATTAAACGTTTTTATTACCGCCGTTGATCCCTTCCTCACGGCTTCCTGAGCGTACTCGACCTGGAGGAGGTGGCCGTCCGGCGAAAAGACGGTGATCGCTCTGTCGTACCTCGCAGTGCCCATGTTCTTCCGATTTCAAGCCGACTTCGCAGATGCAACCGAAGAAGAAAAGTCGAACAGTCAACGTTCAGAAAACCTGGGTTACTCTGCAGAAATCAGTCCGGCCGACTCGCGTAATAGTAACGGGGAGGTTCTCTTATTCAGACTGCAAGTCAGTCTTCAATTCATCAAGGTTTTTTTTTTATAAAATAAACCGAACCGATTGAGAAACATTCATTTGTCGAATTATTTTTATAGTTTCAAAACTCGAAGAGATTTTTATTTTATTTAAAAATCACAAATACTCGAGTGGGATGTCGAAAAATAAAACAATTGGCCGTCAAAGAGAATAAAACTGAATCAAATTTTTCCCGTTAATGAAATACATCGGGATTCTTTTGAAAATACTAAGAAAAACGAGTATTATTTGGTTTCAAGGAGTTTTCGACCTAGTTTTGACCCCCTGTCCGGCGAACGACTTCAAAGTCGGGAAGGCATTGAAGGCGGAACCGTTTCACAGGACCGCCGAGTGGGAAAAACGAACTTGTAACGGAACCGTCTTCGCCCCGCTGTTTTGTTACATCGATTTAGATTCCAATTCCACCCAAGTACATACACTCCGTTTATTTTGACACAATTGTTGGATTTTTCGAGAGGAAATGAGTGCCAAGTTGATCGAAAATGGGTAAGTTTGTCTTTTTTTTCTAATGTTTTACGGCGATTTGACTTTATTCGAAAATTATCCGGTACGAATTCGGTTGACTGCTGAATACGAACAGGCCAAGCCTCGTTGGACCGTTTTTCAATCCTAATACAAACGATTTGCCAATAAAAACAATATAAATATAAACTCTTAACAAAACTAATTTCGACTTAGCAGTTCTGAGAGAACTCAGCAAGCGAGATGGGCAAACATTTCACCAACTAGGCATTTTTAATCAGAAAAATAAGCATAAAACATCAATATTGTCATATTTATCTAACACAGTAACGGGGGACTTGACAGTGTTGACAGTAGTAGCTGTTGTATTGAAATTTCTAGTATATACAAAATCGTTATGCTGACGAGTTAACTTATAATAGCGATCTGGTGACCAAAAAATATCTATTTTATTTATACAGGGCAATGATAATTGTTGTTTCATCAAAAATGGCTGTCCCTTCAAGCTAATCAGGCTTAGAAGAGATACTGACATGTACTTGATCTGAATACGGTGTTGTGATGACCTGTATGCTTTAAAGGCAATCTCACATGACACAACTAAAGACATACATTATTATTTCAGACAAGGAAACAATCATGGAATTGTAGTTTCATCGAACAAATCTGTGCTGCTTCAAGCTAATCAGGCTTGGAAGAGATACTGACATGAACTTGATCTGAATACGGTGTTGTGATGACCTGCATACTTTAAAGGCAATCTCACATTACACAACTAAAGACATACATACTTATTTCAGACAAGGAAATAATCATGGGATTGTAGTTTCATCAAACAAATCTGTGCCGCTTCAAGCTAATCAGGCTTGGAAGAGATACTGACATGAACTTGATCTGAATATGGTGTTGTGATGACCTGTATACTTTAAAAGCAATCTCACATTACACAACTAAAGACATACATGCTTTTTTCAGACAAGGAAACAATCATGGAATTGTAGTTTCATCGAACAAATCTGTGCTGCTTCAAGCTAATCAGGCTTGGAAGAGATACTGACATGTATTTGATCTGAATACGATGATATGATGCCCAAACATTATCTATTTTTCTTTATTTGTGCTTTAAATATAATCTCACACTAACAAGTTAGAACTTAGGCTTAGAAGTGCTGTTATGAACTTGATCTGAATACGATGATTTGATGACCAAAATTTGTATACTTTCCTCTAAGGCAATTAAAAGGCAATCTCACACTTACAACTAAAGACACAGATGATTCTTTCAGACAGAGAAAAAATCATTGGATTTTGTTTTTGTCTGCATCGCTTCAAGCGAATTACACTTGGAAGAGATGATGTTCTCAATATCATGACCTGGTGACAAAACATTGTTTACGATTATTTGGAAGTCGTGAGATGCGGTCTGGTGTGACGTAGCTTTTAAAAAAAATTTCTTTATCATGCCACTGTTTCAATCTTTATTGAGATCATCTAACCATCCCTAAACAACCAAAGTCCCAGACTGTTATTTCAGGCAGGGAAAACTGGGTTGCACTTGATGACCAGGATCAGGCATCTGAAGTTTATTGCTTGAGTTTAACTTCGATTTTTCCTTCTTGTTTTCTGATTTGGATAGATATATTATCTTATATTTGCTTTAATACACTTATAACATAATCATTGCTAGAAATAAGTAATACATTTGGTTAATTTGCCTGGTTAAAAGAAGATTGGGTAGGCGGTCCTCTTATCTGCCCCAAGAAAAATTTTAGTTTGTGAAATAGCTAGGGAAAATACATTTTTATATTATCTATTCTTTTTAGAATTCAAGAGCTCCTCAAGAAATTTGACACCATGACAATTGAATTTATCTCCGAGTTACTACAGAAATGGAAGACCATGTATGTTGTCGATGATATTTTCATTGACAAAAAATTCAAACAGTTATTAAATTATTTAGAGGTAAATGTTTATTATTTATATTGATACCTGGCAACAACCCAAACTCACCCACTCTTGGTGTTTATCATGCAGGAATTTTATTCGGAGATTCTAGAATCATCTGAAAAAAGGAAAGAGGAGCTTATAAAAGAGATTGAAGACAAGCTTAAAGAGCATTCCTTGCTTCAGAAGGTATAATCATATTTTGCTTATTTCAGTGTTCAAATTTTTCATTTCAACTAAATCTCCAGGAACTGCGGTTAGAAATAAAGCGAAATGTTAAAGAAAATGAACCGCTAACTGTGGTCATCAGCAAGTTGGATGATGCAATGAGTGAATATAAGGAGTTGAAGAATATGCGCATAAAAAAAATGGAAGCTTTGAAATTAAAGGTTTTTATTTTATTTACAGTTGTGTTTATTTTAATGAAATTAATCCATAATTTGTTTTCCTTCCTTAAAAAATAGCTTAATATTGTATTCCCTGTTGGAAATTATAATGTACAAATTAATTATTCAAAATTTTAACATTCGTGTAGGAAACTGAGCTTTGTGCACTGTTATCCCGACCAGAGCTTGAAATCAATGACCCAGTACCTTCTGAAGCACAGCTTATTCAAATTGAAGAATATATTTTTAAACTTCAACAAGAAAAGGTTTTTACTTATTTTCAAATCAATAAATAATAATATTTTCCAATAATTAATAATTTTTTTCTTTAGATTGAAAAACAAAGCATCTATCACACGGCCAAAGCAAGAATCACAGAAATGATGGGACGTCTTGAACAGGAGCCTCAGCTGGCATTTGAAAAAGAGGTCTTCGGAGAAAAGTTCATACTCTCAGACGAAAATTTGAAACAACTGAAAGTATGATGGCTTGATAATGTTCTATAATGAAAGATTTTTCCAGTCAACAATACAAACAATAATTTCAGGCTCTTGAATCGTGCCTGGAAAATGACATTGAACATGCTGAAATGAAAATATCTCTATTGAAAGCAAAACTTGAGAAATTGTGGAGTCGAATAAATGTTGATAGGGACTACAAACAAGAGTTTTTTGTCAAGTATAAGGGTGTTGGAAAATCAGTGTCAGATGCAGTAAGTTAAAACAAATTTTATAATTTTTCTGTCAACATGCTAAAAAATGTTTTACAAACGCACCGCTATTTTGGCGAATTGTAAGCTGAATAAGCATCACACCTAATTTGTAAGGATATGTAAATGTAACTAATATATATGGATTTTTTTGTGAATTGTTTTGTAAAACAAAAACATTTCAGTGTAGTTTTATAATTAATTTAACGTTTTATAGTTCATGGCTGAACTGGAACGATGCGAGGAGATCAAACTGGCTAACATTAAGCCTATGGTGTTAAATGCACGGCAAGAAATTTCAGACCTATGGGACAAATTGACATATGTTGATGAGCAGCGGAAAGAATTCCATCCTTATTACACAGATCTTTTCTCTGAGGATGTACTCGATCTCCACGAGATGGAGTGCACAAAGCTCCACAATTTTTACGAAGAGAACAAGTGAGTTGAAAATTTTAAATTAAAAATTAAAAACTGTATCGCTGTTTTGTTGTTTTTAGGTTGATCTTTGAACTGGCCGACAAGAGGGAAGTCCTTTGGCAGAGGATGCTTCATTTGGAAGATGTAGCACAAGACAAGTCAAGATTGTTTAATAATCGTGGTGGGAAGCTCTTAAAAGAAGAAAAAGAAAGAAAACATTTGGAGAATGTAAGTCTTAATTTTTTACAATAAAAAAATGCCTTGACACAGTTTTCTAAATTCTGCTAAACTGGTCTGTATGGTTGTGTTTGTTTTATAGTATGCCTGAGGGGTCTAAAACCAGAATTGTTATAAGTTTTGCACAAAAATATTTTTTTATTTCAGAGTCTACCAAAAATTGATGCACAACTGAGGCAAGAATTAAGTAATTTTCAAGAGAACCACGGCACTCCATTTTTGTGGTATGGCGAAGATCTTTTGGCAAAGATCAACTCTTCATGGGAAGAACGGGCCCAATTGAAACAATCAAAAATACAATCAAGGGTAATTGGACAATCCCTCTCCGCCTTTAACAGTTCGAAACATGTCTACAACATCTATTAAATTCTTTTGTAGAAAAATGTTCAAAAATCAGAAGCAAATGCTCCTATGTCTGCGAAGAGGAAGACCCCGATGACTCCGAAGGTTGTAGGAAATAAAAAAGTTTGCAGACGGCAAGACGAGTCACAGGGCGTAGGCAACCAAACAATCATTATTTCAGGATCGGATACCAATGGGAAAGAAAGTAGCTAATATTTTATCCCTTAACGCTTGGGATCTTTCACTAACGTCTGCATCTGCACGTCTATGCCATCTTAAATATGAAGACAACTTATTCCTTGTGCTTCGTTTGCCATCTACATTTTTTAAATTAATTTGTTTATTATTATTTTTAAGTATTTTCTATTATTTAATGATTTATTGCTTAAGCAACTCCACTATTTCATCCAATATTTCATTATATGTTGTTACTTTTTTTTTTTTTTTTTTTTTTTAAATTATTATTACTTATTTATATTATGGGAATAATATGTAAAAGCCAGCATGAGACTAAGGCCCATTTGAAGGCTGTTGTGCCATGGATTGCTTTACAGTTCTTTGTAGGAATATTTTTATGAGAATCATTTCTACAATTATTCTCATTTTACAACCCATTAGAATGCATGAATGGCATGTTTATGAGTGTATTTAATTAATTTTTACATCATTTGATTGTTACATTTTAAAAATGGTATTTATAAGGGATTTTTTTTTCTACAAATGCATATTGTTCAAATTAGAATCGTGATAGTCAAGCAAGTGTAGACTTTTAATTACTTATGGTGTTTTGCTAAGCTTTTATCCATTCTTTATTTGTTAATGTATTATGATATGTTAAATTTACAGGTTTATCAAGCGAAGTGTTTAAAGAAAACACCTTCCAGTCAGGTATATCCAATTCAAGCTATGACACCAGCTCCTGCTGATGTCAGCAATGCAAGTATTGCTTCATACTCACATTTTCAGGTAGATTTCAAAATACCGCAAAGTCAGATTATTCATTAATCATTAATTACAATTCTCCTGATCAGGAACAAATTGAGTCCGTGTATCTAGTAACTCCCAAGAGTTGTAATGGGAAGCGGCCCGCGCAAAAAGAAAACGACGCTTCCCCAATTAGGACACACTCGTCACCAACAGCGACACCGAAGAGTGCCAAAAGGACCCGGTATATAACTACTGGGCTAACAACGCCAAAAATAACACCAAGGAGGCTCATCACAGGAAGTGCATCAGAAAAAAAAAGACTTCTTCCCAGATAAAAATATAACATATAAAAAAATGTTTTCTTACTTTTATTTTAACCATATATATCTGTTATATTTACTGAACATAAAACAAACGTTGTGCATGCAATGTTGATACTCATAATTGCTGTATAAAAAACTTGTTTCTTTTTTTAATTGAGAGGTTCAATCACACTTTATACTATATATTTTAAACTTCTGTGATTTGTGTTTGGAAATGATTATTAAAGTTTTTCTTTGTTTTTTAATTTTTCTTTAAATAAATGTTTTCTTGTTTTGTCATGCCTTTCAGATAAACTGGAAATTCACATTTAATTTGAAACCTAGGGGCAGTTTGACTTTTCTTACCTTTCTGTCTAAAACTATGCATAATTTGGTTTATGTTGTACATTGTAGCATTCCATTATTTAAAAGTTGACTACATTGGACTTTGACTTTGGAGCGAAGTTCAAAGGATTCAACATTTTAAAAAAATGTCAATCCGTAACATTTTGTAAAGTTTGTAATAAACCATACATTTATGGTAGTTACTTAAAACTCGAAGTTTGGATATTGCAATAATAAAACAGACCTTTTATGAATCCATAATTTCCATGATTAAGCAGTGTTCTGAAAATATGTATATTTCAATTAATTTGAATACTTTGAAGAATTAATTGCACCCATACTGAAAAAAATTACAATGTTCGTGTGCAAAAAAGAAATCTCATCCTTTTATTTTTTGGCAAGTTTACATTTACCGGTTGATCTCCAATTATAGGAAGAAATTTTAAATTTAACGTAAGAAAACTGAAACTGACCTTTCCATTGAAATTTTTGGCATTTTCTCATCTCTTATGGCACAAAGTTGGAGGAAAAGAATTTTATTTTATAAAAGAAGTCTATACAGAATTTCACGTGAATTATTATTAAAACTGTCAATTGCATTAAATGCTAATCTCAGGGTAGTGTAAAGTTTCTTACAAATCTTTATGTAAATCTTAATGTCATAAATATTAACTTTTTTTTTTTAATTTTTACTAAGAGGATCTTGTGGCTATAATTTTTCTGAGAATCACTTCCTTGAATTGTATTAACTGTATATCAATCCAAACATTATTAACAATTTAAAATATTTTTAAAACATGAGTGTGTGTATGCAATATAAATGTGGACAATATATATGTATATAAAGGCCTTGGACAAAAAAGATAATCCACATTAATAATTTGCCAATAAATTTAGCTGTTTGATTATTTAACTTTTTTTTATAACATAATTCTATTTACTATTATAGATTATATATTGTTACATACCTACCAATAAAGTATTTTATAATTTTTAAAATAAAGATATTCCCTTGGTGTTTTCTTTTCCCCTCTCGTAGCTTAGATAGTTAGGGCCTGGACTCTCTGTAGCTCTCAAATACTCTGGATCATGGTAGGTCTTGACGAAAAAGTAAATTCAATTGTTACTGCCGGGCTTTTGTCTTATTCCTATGCCATCATCAGGGCAAATAAATCATATATGTCTACAAATTGAGATAATAAGTTTTCCACAGGCGATTTCATCTTTGATGAATATGTGATGGAGGCCCATCCCAATTAAAATTTCCAAATTAGGAACAAATGAGATTGGTCGTGGATGGGTCAGCCAGAAAATCTCAAAAGAGGGGGAGAGATTAACAAAAAGACCATCAGTCGCCATTTTACTCGGCCCAAAAGTGGATCCTTAACTTATTTTTATCTATGGCAAAATAAAAATAAAGAATTGTGATGTATTAACAATTGACCGCCAAATTTCTTTTGCTAGGGAATGTTTTTTTTTTAAATTATAGATGTTGATTAGAATGCAAAGCAATATAGCTATGCAATACAACAGGGATTATGTTTTTTATTATTAAAAGTTTATGAGTTGTTATGAGCCATTGTTGCAGTAATGTCAGAAATTACGTTTATTTTATTATATAAGTGTATGGTGATTAGTGACCGTTAATCGATAATTATTCAAAAATCGTGAGATCTCACCAGACCACATCTCAGGATTTCTGAATAATTATTATATAAGTTTTATAAAAGAGAACGCATTTAGTGCCTTGAAAATATAAAAATCTCCATCTATTAATTCCTGTATTCTTTAGTTAAGTCCTAATTGCAACTCAAAAACACAGACGCATACTATATGTTTTATGTTTTTTCTTTTATTTATTTTTTGTACGAGTCCCAATCAGTCCTTGTTGCAATAGTAGTCAATAATTTAATTTACTTTTATCTACGGCAAAATCCGAAATAAACAACTGTGATATTTTATCAACTGACCGCCAAATTTCTTGTGCTAGGGGATGTTTTTTGATTATAGATGTTGAGTAGAATGCAAAGCACACTATGCAACACAACAAGGATTATATCTTTCAGTAAGTTCGAGTTATGATTAGTAATGTCGGAAATTTCGTTTATTTTTTAGCAACGTGACTAGAAAGCCGACAAAATGATCGGAATTTAATGTTTTTGTGATATTTATAAATGATTGTCAGACAACTACTTTAATATGTAATTTTATTTGTTCATTTCTTCCCAGTTGTACTTTTAGATATTTTTATGTTTGATTTACCCGTATAAAATAATTTAACGATAATTATAACATTTATTTCTCCCCACAAGGCGCTATGGTCCAACACTTCCGCAACACAGCCAAATGTTGCGGGTTTAGTATACAGAGAGATTTAATATAGGTCCCCCTATTTTTTAAAATTTTATTGTGACGGTTTTGGAAAACTGTGGGCATCATTGATATCAGCGTCAATAAACCGATAACAAAATGTACACACTGATGGGTAACTTTCTTCCCATTTTGGGCTTAGACATATACCGTTTACGTGATAATAAATGATTTCCAGAAAACTACTTTAATATGTAATTTTATTTTTACTTCTTCCCGGTGTTTTGAGATTTTTTTTTAATGTTTAATTTCCCGTATAAAATGATTTAACGATAATTATAACATTTATTATGCCAATATATTATTACATTTTCCAATATTTCTCCCCACAAGGCGCTATGATCCAACACTTCCGCAACATAGACAAATGTTGCGGGCTTAGCATACAGAGAGAGTTAATATCCTCCTATTTTTTAAAATTTTATTGAGACGATTTTGGGACGTTGGGAAACCGTGGGCATCTTTGATATCAGCGTCAATAAACCGATTACAAAATGTACATTGATGGGTAACTTGCCATTTAAAATAGCTAAGGCCCTATTGGTATCCCTCTATGAATTCACGTCTCACTTTTTTCCCCAAAAACTCCCCTATTAAAAAGGGGGGGAGAACTCACCCTGCAAAAAATGTACGAGACAACATGAGCAATGATTTCAAATAAAACAAGATTATTTGTCTTACATAGTCCAGAATTGTGTACAGTCTATTGTTGATGTGTATTAAGTAATTACTTTAATATTGATTTGGAAAAAAACATTAGAACATAAGAGATTTCTCATCTTAGAGCCCAGTATTTAGCATAGATGAGCTACAATTTTTTCTTCCTTTTTTTCATTAAGCTTTTTGCTAAATTTTTATATATTTTTTTTAAATTTTGTATTTTTGTTGATATGTTAATGGCGATTTTGGCTATTATTTTAACTTTGTCTAAAAGTCGGGATGGTCAGTATTAAATGAATACTTTGTTTTCTAAGTAAAATGATTTCTCAGATCATCAGTCATCATTTTGATATATCATATCAAAAATAAATTTATTTATAAATCAATTTGTTAGGCAGCCGCCTCTCCTCTTCACATACATTAATTTTTTTATTTTAATACATTATATACATATAATAAAAATAATATGATTTTTCAAGACTTATACAAACTACAAAAAAAATAATATTAATCTTATTTGGCAATCCTTTCCTATTTTTTATTTATTTTATTTATTTATTTTTTTTTTTTTTAATAGTTGTAGTCAAAGGAATGGATTTGGCATGGCCGGGTATGCAACCGTTGTAGTAGTGGGAGAGATGAGAGTGAGTTGTGGTTCAGCGGATTATTCACATCCTCTGGGAAATCTCGGCCCTGGATAAGACCGTGGTCACAAATAATAATTATTGGTCGAGTGTCTGAAGGGTCGGTCCCCTCGGGTTCTCTGACCCTACTTAACTGTCACCTCCAATCCTCTTCCCAAGATCAACAACTTCCTTATTCTTACCTATAAGCGTTTGTTTACACTCTAACCTTTATATATTTTATACCCTGCCCCCACTCAGAGAAAAAACTATGCTACATCGCCAATTCTTAATTTTGCTTTCTTTAGCATTCTTTGCAGTGATATTTTTTTCTGATTAAATCGCAATTTACGTACTTTAGATTTACATTACATTTATATGTTTTTGAGTTTACATAAGATTAAGCAAGACACTAAATAATTGGTTGGTTTAGGTGAGATAACACAGTTGGACTTCAAGAAATTCTTAAGAGAGAAAGAATTAGACGAAATTGTAGAGCTTCTGGGTTTGATAGTACCAACTTCACACGACTACTAAGTTCTGTTTATATTTCTATGTTTAAGTTTATTTTTTGAAACTCCTTCAAAGTTAAGAGTTTGTCATAAAAATTACAAAATTTATAACATTAATTTCAATGAAAAAAATTATTGGAGCTATTTCATTCATTTTTTTTAAATTTGCAATTTTGTATTAAAGGAAAAGCACCAAGCAGTACAGAACCAAACTTAATAAAACTGTCTTAAGGACGAATGAAAGAAAACGAGATGAAAGGGGGACCCTCATATTTGGTAGTTTCAAGGGTAGATCAGGATAAAGTACGAAGAGTGGTCAAATTTTGGGGCTTAAAAGAAATTATGAAAAATAAAAATGTTCCTTACAAAACTAAAAGTCAGGTGTTAGACAAATGATCTCATATCTTACCTGCGTATCCTAGACATTTCCACTGTCATAAATGAAACTCCAGAGGCTAGGAGACGACCCAAAGGAACACGAAAAAATAGCATAGTTAGGTATGGTGGAGTATGGTTACCGCGATAGACAAAGTAAAGGACAAAAATTCCACCATAACGATACGACATAAAACCAACCAAATCACCCCCACCCAAATGGTAATGGGCAGGTATATCATGAAAGATGACAAAAAAAACTAACAATCTAGAAATCAAAATTTAGAAAGGAAAAAAGAAAGACCAAAGAAAATATGAAAGAAGACTTCGTTAGTGAGCTGGAGAGGAACTGGAGAAACATGTCTATAACCGAGAACAATA